TAATGGTCAATTTAATATTTTATTCCAGATAAGATGAAAGATGCCATCATAGCTAAATTGGCTAATCAGGCTGCAGATTATTTTGGTGATGCTTTCAAACAGTGTCAGTACAAAGATACTCTCCCCAAGGTCAGTTATTGTTTTTTATAAACACTTGGTTATTTCGCATGTAGAATTATTTAGACATTTTTGTGTGCAATAAGCAAGTTGAAAATTATGTATTATAAAGAAATTTGAAATTTTATTAGAGACATTAGAAGAATATATTCGTAGACATAGTTTTCTAAATTTAAGATGCATGAACAGTTCTTTTATTTCTAGGGGATGCTTTTGTCTTTACCCTTTACTAAACTTGTTTTTCCAAGCTAAACTCTTTCTGGAAAACTTCGACCATCTGTTTTCAATAATTTTATCAGATCAAGGCATTATGTAGATCTAAATCATTGGTGATTTGGTACAAGCATGTATGTACTTGAGCATGTTGATTATTTACACTTTTAATTATTGTCCTGTTTTCTTAAAGATGAATCTTAAAGCGCAAAAACAGACATAAAGGAAAAAGGAAAAGAAAACTTAAATTCATCCGATACTTTGTTTAGAATTAAATTTTGCCAACAGGGATAGAAAATTGGGCTGCTAATGAACAGCTAAGGAAAAGCAACCATCTTAAACCACATATCACAGGAAGTATTATGTTTTAATGTAAACTTTTCTGAAGTGGCACTTGAAAAGACTGTTCAGTGATGATCATTTGTAAATGGGAAAACAGATGACTAGACTAACAGGTAAATTTGAAATGATTAAAAAAGAAAACTTAGAATGAAATACGTTTCAACTACTTTCCTTCAGAAATGTTCAAGGAATTAGTTTCATCTGTATTGATAGCATATGATATTTCTCACAAGATTTTTTGTAGAGGAGTTTTTTGATTCAGAAATCTTTGTGTATTACAAAATTGGAGACAACTTTGGGGTGAAGTAAAAATTCACATAAGTGCATCAACAGTACATGTTAGAAAATGAACAATAAGGAATTAATGTGAAGATTCTTATTTAAAATATACCAAGAGCCTAATAGAAATTTGTCTAGGATTCTTGGGTATTAATAGCCTTACTCTTAAAAAAGAGCCTTGGGATCTCCTCTCATCTTTTTTTCATCTGAAAGACTTCATGTTCAGCTGCACAGTGTACCGTTACATCCTGTTGGGCCATTAGTTCAGTCCTGTCACCGAGAGAAGAATGTCACCTACAAAGACTTGGAAGCCACCTCTGCAGCATTCTTGGTATTCCTTGAAAGTCTCCTGTTTAAGTACCAATTTGCTCCAGCCTTACCTTGAGAACTGGCATGAGTGCAGTTTGAGATTTAGATGTCTTTTATTTTTCCCTTTTTGCTAATAAAGCTCATAAGGTATTTTCATATTCTAGTTATAAAACTGGAATATCTGCAAGTAGTGATCCAGGAAGCTAGGAAATTATTCACTTGGAGACAGGAAAGCATAAAGGTAGTAATTCAGTTTTTGATTTTCTTATATTTTTGTTTAGACGGTGATTGTCAAGTATATTTCTTGGATTTTTTTATATCTTGTACTTCCTTAACAATGAGGTTGCAAAGTACGATTTGGCATTTTAGAAGAGCCTTTACTGATATAAGTGGTTTTCTGGTTTTAGATCTTTTAAAATTAATTTAGACTGGTATTATTTTCAAAACAAATTAGCGCAAAAAGATACTCTATCATATCATTAGTCATAAATTTCGTGCATTTGTCTGTGATGTGTTTTCGAGGATGTGATACTGAAGTGTTAGTGTTTATGTGACACTAAATCATATTTATATGGCTAAAAACATCTTTATTAGAACTCTCTTAGGATATGAATTAAAGTGAGAACTTACTTTATTGTCTTTTGTCTTTTAAACATGATGAAACAGTCAGCTATAGAGCAGTTTCACTAGTATATGTGAGTAGTGATTGTTTAGTTAACTCTAAGGGCTGGGTAAGGACTCATAAGAAAGCTTCTAAAGCCCTATGCTTGATAGTCCTTTGTGAATGTCCATTCTACTTCGCTTTCTAATAATGCATGCTTTTCTTTCTTCCTTGTAAACAAAATGTTGACTTCATGGCTCAATTAAAGAGAATTATAAAAACCTAAATTGGATTCAATTAATAGTTTAAAAAAACCCTTAATTTTAATTGGAAGAAAACAAAATTGAATTCGTAGACTACAGTCCATGCAAAATCATGTGGTCTTCTCTGTTTACACCTAATGACTAACCTATCTCTAAATCATTAATCAGGTGATTCTAATTTCTGTCTCCTTTTCCTTTTTCTTCCTGCATCCCATGTTGTCTGTGGTGGTTTGTCTGGTTGGACTCTCCCCTGGTCAGTATTTTTATTTCCAGGAGGTGTTCCCTGTCTTGGCTGCAAAGCACTGTATCATGCAGGCCAATGCTGAGTACCACCAGTCTATCTTGGCAAAACAGCAGAAGAAATTTGGAGAAGAGATTGCAAGGTTACAGGTGAGTCTTTTGGTGATAAATATTTAAGTAATTCGGATCTCCATTTTTTTTCCTAGTGAGATTCCCAACTGATCTTTATGCTGGATTTTCATTTCTGTTCAATTGGTCTGCGTGACTACTTCTATGCCAGTACCATGCTGTTTTGGTTACTATTGCTTTGTAGCATAATTTGAAGTCGGTTAATGTAATGCCGCCAGATTTGTTCTTTTTGTTTAGTATTACTTTGGCTATTTGTGCTTTTTTTGGTTCCATACAAATTTTAGGGTTGTTTTTTCTAATTGTGTGAAAAACAAAGTTGGTATTTTAATAGGAATTGCATTGAATCTGTGGATTACTTTGTGTAATATGGACTTTTTAACAATATTGATTCTTCCAGTCCATGAGCATAGGATGTTTTTCCATTTGTGTTATCTATGATTTTTTTCACTGGTGTTTTGTAGTTCTTTTTGTAGAGATCTTTCACTTTTTTGGTTAAGTATATTGCAAGATATTTTATTATCTTTTCCAGCTATTGTAAATGGAATTAAGTTCTTGATTTGATTTTTGGCTTGGTTGTTATTAGTATTTAGAATTGCTTCTGATTTATGTACATTGATTTTGTACCCTGAGACTTTATTGAATTCATCTATCAATTCTAGGAGTCTTTTGGAGGAGTTTGGAGGGTTTTTAGGTATAGGATCATATAGTTGGCAAACAGGGATAGTTTGACTTCCTCTTTTCCAATTTGGATCCCCTTTATTTCTTTCTCTTGCCTGATTGCTCTGGCTAGGACTTCTAGTACTATATTGAATAGAATTGGTGAAAGGGGGCATCCTTGTCTTGTTCCAGTTCGTAGGGGGGATGCTTTCAGCTTTTCCCTATTCAGTACGATGTTGGCTGTGGGTTTGTTATATGGCTTTTATTATTTTGAGATATGTTTCTTCTATGCCTGGTTTGTTGAGGGTTTTTATCATGAAGCAATGTTGGATTTTGTTGAATGTTTTTTATGCATCTGTTGAGATGAACATGATTTTTGTTTTTAGTTCTGTTTATGTGGCGAATTACATTTATTGGCTTCTGTATATATTAAAGCATCTTTGCATCCCTGGAATAAAACCCACTTGATCATGGTGAATTATCCTTTTTTTTTTTTTTTTTTTTTGAGACAGAGTCTCACTCTGTTGCCCTGGCTAGAATGCAGTGGCATCATCACAGCTAACTACAACCTCAAACTCCTGGGCTCAAGCGATCCTCCTTCCTCCCAGAGTACTAGGATTACAGGCCTGAGCACTGCACCTGGCCGTGAATTATCTTTTTGATGGGCTTTTGGATTGAGTTTGCTATTATTTTGTTGAGGATTTTCACATCTATGTTCATCAAGGATATTGATATGTAGTTTTCTTTTTTTGTGTGTGTCTTTTCCTGGCTTTGGTATCAGGGTGATACTGGCTTTGTAGAATGAGTTAGGAAGGATTCCCTCCTTTTCAATGAAACAGTTTCAGTAGGATAGGTACCAGTTCTTTGTAGGTCTGGTATAATTCAGCTGTGAATCCATCTGGTTCTGGGCTTTTTTTTGTTTGTTTGGAGACTTTTTATTACAGATTCAATTTCTCTACTGATTATTGGTCTGGATTTCTATATTTTCCTGGACTTTTGAGATATAAGCCTGAGAAATTTTCTTTTTCTATTTCTTTTTCTAATTTTTTTTTTTTTTTTTTTTTGGGAGATATCTTATTACTGATTAAATCTTGCTGTACATTATTGGTATGTTCCGGATTTCTATTTCTTCCTAACTCAAGCTTGGGAAGTTGTGTGTTTCTCAAGATTTATCCATTTCCTCTAGATTTTCTAATTCGTGTGCATAGAGGTGTTCTTAGTAGTCTCTGGTGATCTTTTGTATTTTTGTGGTATCACTTGTAATGTCTCCTTTTTAATTTCTGATTGAGCTTATTTGAATCTTCTCTCTTCTTTTCTTGGTTAATGCAGCTAGTGGCCTATTGATTTTGTTTATCTCTGCAAATAACCAACTTATCGTTTCATTGATCCTTTGTATTTTTTTTTGTTTCTATTTCGTTTAGTTCTCTGATTTTTGTTATTTCTTGTCTTCTGCTAGTTTTTGGCTTGTTTGATCTCGTTATTCTAGTTCCTTGAGATGTGACATTAGTTAATTTGTAATCTTTCTGTCTTTTTGATGTAGGCATTCAGTGCTATAAACTTCCTTCTTAGCACTGCTTTTGCTATGTTCTAGAGATTTTGATAACTTGTGTTGCCATTGGCATTCAATTCAAAACATTTTTTTAATTTCCATCTTGATCTTGTCATTGACCCAAAGATCATTCAGCAGCATAATCTTTGTTTAATTTCTATGATTTTGAGAGTTCTTCTTGGAATTGATTTCTAGTTTCATTCCACCATGGTTTGAGAAGATACATGGTATGATTTTGACTTTTTTAAAATTTGCTGAAACTTGTTTCGTGGCCTAACATATGATCTGTCTTGGAGAATGTTCCACGTGCTGATGAGAGGAATGTACATTTGCATTTTTTTGTGAATGTTCTGTAAGTGTCTGTTAGGTCCATTTGTTTTAATGTCTCATTTAAGTCCACTGTTTCTTTGTTGATTTTCTGCCTTGATCTGTCTAGTTTTTCAATGGGGTGTTGAAGTCCCCTACTATTATTATGTTGCTGTTTATTTCTTTTCTTAGGTCTAATAGTATTTGTTTTATGAATCTAGGAGTTCGGTGTTAGGTGCATACTTATTTAGGATTGTTATATCTTCTTATTGAATTGATCCGTTTATCATCATGTTATGACCATCTTTGTCTTTTTTTACTATTGTTGATTTAAATTCTGTTTAATCAGGTGTAAGAATAGCTACCCTTATTTGCTTTTGGTTTCCATTTGTGTGGAATATTTTTTTCTACCCCCTTTACCTCGAGTCTGTGAGAATCTTTTTTTTTTTTTTTTTGAGACTGAGTCTCACTCTGTTGCCCGGGCTAGAGTGCCGTGGCGTCAGGCTAGCTCACAGCAACCTCAAACTCCTGGGCTCAAGCAATCCTACTGCCTCAGCCTCCCGAGTAGCTGGGACTATAGACATGTGCCACCATGCCCGGCTAATTTTTTCTATATATTTTTAGCTGTCCAATTAATTTCTTTCTATTTTTAGTAGAGATGGGGTCTCGCTCTTGCTCAGGCTGGTCTCAACTCCTGAGCTCAAACGATCCACCCTCCTCAGCCTCCCAGAGTGCTAGGATTATAGGCGTGAGCCAGAGTGCTAGGATTATAGGCGTGAGCCACCGCACCCAGCCTGTGAGAATCTTTATGAATTAAATGGGTTTCTTGGAGATAGCAGATATTTGGCTTGTGTTTTTCAATTTATTCCACCAATCTTTATATTTTACTTGGGGCATTTAGGTCATTTGCATTCACTGTTAATATTGATAAGTGAGACACTGTTCCAGTCATCATGTTGATTATTACCAGTTGCTTTTTACTCTCCCTTGTGTTATTGTTTTATAAGACCTGTGAGTTTTTACTTTTGAGTGTTTTTATACTGGTGAGTATCGACGGTTTTTTTCAACTTTTGAAGTACTTTTGAGCATTTCTTGTAGGGCAAGTCTTGTGATGACAAATTCCCTTAGCACTTGCTTGTCTGGTAAAGACTATTTCTCCTTCACTTACAAAACTTAGTTTTGCAGGATACAAAATTCTTGGCTAACAGTTATTCTTTTTAAGAAGACAAAGATAGGACCCCAGTCTCTTCTGGTTTGTAAGGTATCTGTTGAGAAGTCTGCTGTTAGTCTGATGAATCTTCCTTTGTAAATTGATACAAAGGAAAAGCCTTGATGTTTTTGCCTCATGGCGTTTAGGAGTTTGTCCTTCATGTTGACTTTGACCAGTCTGAGGACTATGTATGTGCCTTGGTGATATTGCTTTTTCAATGAATCTCTCAGGTGTTCATTGACCTTGTATCTGGATATCTAAATCTCTACCAAGATCAGGGAAGTTTTCCTCAATTATTCCCTCAAATAGGTTTTCCAGGCCATTTCCTTTTTCTTTTCCCTCAGGGCTACCTATAATTCTTTTATTTGGGTGCTTTACAAGATTCCATATTTCTTGGCGACTTTGTTTCTCTTGATTCTTTGTTCTTTATTTTTGACGGACGAGGTTAATTTGAAAGAGTTGTCTTTAAGTTCTGAAATTCTTTCTTCTGCTTAGCCTATTCTTAAAACTTTCTAGTGTGTTTTGTATTTCCCTAAATAAATTTTTCATTTCCAGAAGTTCTATTTTTTTTTTTAATATATCTATCTCTTCAGTAAATTTTTCATTCATTTCCTGAATTATTTTTCTGGTTTCTTTGAGTTGGTTTTCCTTTTTCTCTTGGATCTCACTGAACTTCCTTACAATCCATATTTGGAATTCTTTCTGTGTCATTTCAGTATTTTCATTTACTAGAGAGCTACTGTGATCCTCGGCGAGGGGCTCCTTTCACTCTGTTTTTTGGGATCTCTGGTGCTCTGGAGTTCTTTCACTGATTCCTTCTGATCTGGAGCAACTGTCACTTCTTGTTTTTGAATTTTATTTTGTTTGGATGGGACTTTTTTCCCCTCATTTTTAAGAGTGTGCCTGTAGCATATGTTGGCTGCAGAGGCGATGGCTGGAGAGCATGGGGGGGAGCAGCAAGCTGTCTTGGTCAGGCTCAGCAGTGGCTAGTGATGGTGGGGTTACCTGCAGGATTGCTGCTCATGGCTTGTCACAGCTAGAGCACTGTGGTCGTTGCCACAGCAGTGCCTTTCTCCTTGTCTTGCTCCTTTCATTCTTAACCACTTTAGTATGTAACTTTAGTAGATAAAGGTTACAAAAATTTGAACCGCAGTGCCATTATTTATCCCATCTAGCAAAAATAATATTAATGTGAATGAATAATTAATACTCATAATTCAATAGTATCCAAATCTGGTTTAGTTTTCCCTGATTTTTTTCTCAGGGCCTTGATTTGTTCAGATTGGATCCGCACAAAGTTCTCATATTGCATTTGGTTGATATGTTTCCTAAATCTTTAATTTGTCACAGCCTCTTCTTTCCCCACTTTTATGTTGAATTTCCCTTACTTTTTCTTATAGTGTATGTTTCTTACTATGATTTCTGTGATATGTGTTCTCCCTTTTGCTTCTTGTATAAATGTCCAATATTTCTTTCTTAAATGTATTTGTATTTTTTTATATTTTCTTTCTATAGTTCTGTCAGTTCCTGTTTCACATTGTCTTGCTATCTAGCTATCATCCACTGTTCTCTGGATCATCTAGTTCTCTTTCATACTTTGTGTTCTTTTTGTACTGCGATTGTGTTCTTAAGTGTTTTAGTTTATTTTAGTTTTTAGCATGCTGTTTTCATCTACTTTGTGGCAATATTTCTTTGGGTGAGCTTTTGTTGTCTATTGAACAGATATACTGCTCGTTTTCATTTTTTTCCTTATGGTTTTTTTTTTTTGTACTGCAGCAGATGATATGCCTTTTCAGTTACTTGTGTTTGAATGAGATTGATTTCACTGGAGGTTCCTGGGTACCTTTCCAAGCATCATTGTGTAAGGGCTTCCACTTCAGCCCCACTTCTCTGGCTCTCAAAGCCTAGCCTGCTTTAGGAAGGATTCCACCTCTGTTCCTGTGCTTCCCTGAATTCTCACAGCTTTTGCATTTCAAACTGATGCATCTACTTTTAGAGTTTGTATTTTGCTGGCATTTTCTGAGTGCTCACCCCCCCTTTATTTTCCCTCCTCTGCTTTTCAACCCTCCCTTTTTTCTCCTTCTCTTACAAACCTTGCCTTTTAATTAATCTACCTCGTGCTCTCAGTAGCTACCTCTTGGGTTGAGGCCCCTCAGCACTCCATTTTTCCTGTGGCCCCCTGGTGGCTTGGCATGGGCTTTTCCTTTATTATCAGTTGGCTAGCGTGTTCTCATCCTGTTTGATTGTTTTCAGATTTGCTTAAAGTATTAATAGTTTCCACGCAGGGTGGTCCCCTCAGCACATAACTATGGTTCTAGTACCAGTTTTGCTATTTGGGAGAATATTTGACCACATTTACAAAACAAATTGATTTACAGATTTAAGAAGTGATTTTAAATTTCCCATTCCCTAGTTTACACTAAATGTAGCTTTTGTTTTGTTTTGGTTATCCTTATTTCTCTGTAGTTTTGTATTGATCTTAAATATATTCTTTTAAAATTTATTCCTGGATATTTTGTCTTTCTGTTGCTAGTAACAATGGATTTATTTCCTCTGTTATCTCTTCAAATTAGTGGTTATTTGTATTTGCTATGTTGATTTCGTATCCAAACTATCTCTCTCATTATTTAGAATAGTTTAGTTGATTCTCTTACGTTTTCCTGGTGTACAGATACATCACCTGTAAAAAATAATTTTTTCCTTTTGTTTTCTGAAGTTTATACCTCTTATTTCATTCTTTTGTCTAATTATTTTGACATGTCTGTGGTCATGATCCTGGCGATCTTTGTTTGATTTCTGTTCTAGGAATGTTAACATTTTTCTACTAAGCATGATACCAGCTTTGGAGGTTAATATATTTAGCATGTTAAGGAACTGTATATCTATTTCTGTTTTACTGATACTTAAAGAATATTGAATTTTATCAAAAACTTTTTCAAGGTCTATGGAGATATTCGATTTTTTTTTAACTTAAATCTATTCTGGAAAATTGCATAAGTAGATTTTCTATCATTAAACCATTTTTGGGCCAAGCGCAGTGGCTCACGCCTGTAATCCTAGCACTCTGGGAGGCCGAGGCAGGCGGATTGCTCAAGGTCAGGAGTTCGAGACCAGCCTGAGCAAGAGCGAGACCCCCGTCTCTACTAAAAAAAATAGAAAGAAATGATCTGGACAACTAAAAAAAAAAAAAAACCATTTTTTGTATTCTTGTAATTTTGGTGTTTTAGACTTGTTTGTCTCCTCATCTAGTCATTTTATATATGTAGGTGTTTTCTGTATGCCTGAGAATATTATATATTCTCTAATTGTAGAGTCCAGAGTTCTCCATGTCTGGTAAATAAAATTCATTAGTTTTGTTGTTCAAATCATCTATAATCTTACAGATATTGGTCCAGCTATTGCTGAGACAGGGGTGTTAAAATCTTCCACTTTGGTAATGGGTAGATTTATCAATTTCTCATTATAATTGTTTATATAGATAGAGACTATTAAATGGAAAATCTAAGGAGTCTTGTGTCTTTCTGGCAAATTGGCAAATATTAAAACATTATGTATTGAATTTATCCCTAACAATGCTTTTGGTCTTATTGTCTATTTTATCTGATGTTACTATACCTAATACCACCTAAGTAATATAATTTGAGACTTAAATTTGTGTGAGGCATACGCTCATCATATTATAAGGCTAAAGTTTAAAAAGAATTTTTCTTATTGATGCTGAAATGACAGGCAACTTTGTTGACTTTCTATGTCGTTGGGTAATTTTTTTCAAATCTACTCTTCACTGAAGGTGTAGCCCTTTGAGGTTCCTGCTTTCAGGTGAAGGAGTAAAGGAGGTGCATCTCACTTCTCTGTCTTGTGTGATTTCAAGAACCTTGTCTCAGGTCTCCATGAGGGCTTTTAATAAATTTTAATTGCTAGTTCTTTGAGGTATAGAAATAACCTAACAGCCAGCTTTCCTCAATTTCAGTTTATACTGATTGGCCCATGGATTTCTTTTACTGTCATGGTAATTCCATGTGTGTAAAGGGATGTCTGCTATGTATTATCCTTCAATTTTTGCCTATTTTGTGATGGGAGAATTTCCAGGTTATCCTGTCAGTCACATTGCTGGAAATGCAAGTCCTTGAAATAAGGATTTTTTTTTTTTTTTTAAACCAATACTTGAATACTTGGTGGTGGAGAAAGAAAGAAAATGTTCTCTCTCTTTTTTTTTTATTTTTTTCTTTTCAGCATGCAGCAGAATTGATTAAAACAGTGGCATCTCGCTATGATGAATATGTCAATGTGAAAGATTTTTCTGACAAAATCAACCGTGCCCTTACTGCAGCAAGGAAGGATAATGACTTCATATATCATGATCGAGTTCCAGACCTTAAAGATCTAGACCCTATTGGCAAAGCCACACTTGTGAAGTCTACCCCAGTCAATGTACCCATCAGCCAGAAATTTACTGGTATGTCAGTTATTCAGATACGCTTTACTCTTACTCATGTTTTCTCCAGTTTAATCTGTATTTTCTAGCTAAAATACAAGTTGCAATTTTGTGTTTTGAATATAATTTGCATTCATTTTGTTCATGAATGTAAGAATAAAAATTGTGTTGTATCTTCAGTATAATTTTAAGAGGAAAGGAAAGTGATAATAAAACATGTGTACAGCAGAGTCAGAAAACTTGAAATTGTGTGTTTGAATAATGATTAAGACTTTAGTGCTTGTCGGCTGGGTTCGGTGGCTGATGCCTGTAATCTTAGCACATTGATAGGCCGAGGTGGGAGGATCACTTGAGCTTAGGAGTTTCAGACCAGCTTGGGTAATAGTGAGACCCTCATCTCTACAAAAAACAGAAAAATTAGCTGGGCGTGGTAGAATGCACCTGTAGTCCCAGCTACTGGGGAGGCTGAGGCAGGAGGATCACTTGAGCCTAGGAGTTTGAGGCTGTAGTGAGCTATGATCACACCACTGCGTTCTATGCCAGGCAGCAGAATGAGACTCTGTCTCAAAAAAAAAAACAAAAAACAAAACACCCAAAAGACTTCAGCAGTTGTCATTTTGTTACTAACATTTGTTATATTATTTAAGGTGCTGCCATTAAAAATAAACATGCATAAATATTTCTTTAAACACGTTAACTCCTGTAGTCATATTTGTATCAGATAAATAAATGTTATACCATAAATATACCTAGTATTATGATAGCGTTTAGCTGAGATCTGAAGGATAACATTCTGTTATGGAAAGGATGAATTTTTAGCAAACATAAAGTGTTTGCCATGTGACGGGAACTCTTCTAAGCACTTTACAAATGTTAGCTCATTTATTTCTTACAACAACCTCATGAGGTGGGCACTATTATTATCCCTATTTGACTGATGAGGATACTCATGCACATAGTGGTTAAGTAATTTGCCCAAGGTCACATAGCTAGGAAGTGGTAGAGCCAAAAATTAAATCCTGCCACTGTGACCTACTCAGTCAGTTTAATCAACAAAGGAACAGTGTCACCAAAGATTTTTCAAACTCAATGACAGAAACATCTTAAAAAGTTAAAGAAAATTAAGTTCAAAGAAAAAACTTTTCATTGTTGCTGTTGTCCATGAATATAGTGATCTAAAAATCCTCTTTATCATTGTACTTTTAATAGTGATTTAGTTTTGATCTTTAAATATTTGTAGACTGAATACTAGAAAGAAAATATGAATAGTCACTTTTACAGTTTGAGTTTTGTCTTAAAATTTTATTGTAATTTCCCTTCCTAATTTTAGATCTATTTGAGAAGATGGTTCCCGTGTCAGTACAGCAATCTTTGGCTGCCTATAATCAGAGGAAAGCTGATTTGGTTAACAGATCAATTGCTCAAATGAGAGAAGCCACCACTTTGGCAAATGGGTAGGTAGAGCTTAACTTTTATAAATTGATCTCTAAATTTCTAAAGTTTTCTTTGGTTATTCTTTAGTTTATGAACATTTTAGTTTTCTGAGCTTATTTATTTATTTTTTTAAATTTTTAAATTTTAATTTTTTTTTTTCAGAGTATTACTGGGGTACAAATGCTTTGGTTACATAAATTGCTTTTGCACTGCCTGAGTCAGAGCTACAAGTGTGCCCATCCCTCAGACAGCGCCCACTGCATCCTTTAAGTGTGAATTTACTCATTCCCTCCTCCTGGGCATTCACTTTACATTTCTCCAAAAAATGAACAATGGAAGCAGTAAATGTCAATTCACTTGAGTCAACACAATGAACTTGTGGTTAAATGAAATTTTGCATGACCAATAGCCCATTGAGGTAGCCAGCCTCCAAGACGGCCCCCAAAGATCCCCACCTCCTGGTGTTCGTATTCTTGCGCAGTCCCTTCCACGTGATCCCAGGGTTGGTCTGTGTCGTTGATAGAATACAGCACAAGTCAGGGTCTGTCACATCTGGGATTAGATTATAAAAGACACCATAGCTTCTGTTTTGCTCTCACTCTCTTATGACTCACTGGGTGGGGAGCTGACTGCCATATTTTGAGGACACTCAGTGGCCCTGTGGCGAGGCCCATGTGGAGAATTGAAGACTCCAGCCAAAAGTCACATGATCAGTCTGCTTGGAGGCAGGACCTCCAGCGCCAGGGAAGGTTTCAGCTTGGCGACAACCTCATGAGAATCCCTGAACCAGAACCACCCAGCTAAGCCATTCCTGGAGTTATGAGCCTCAGAAACTCTGAGATGATAAATGTCTGTTGTTTTAAGCCACTGAGTTTTGGGGTAATTTGTAACTACTCCCAATAGATGACTGAACTCCCTAAGCCTCAGTATCTAGTATGCTACAATAAAGTTTTAGCCAAACTATATTTTACAGATTAAAAAAATATTGGTCACAGACTTCGATGTAATTTTTAAGCCCCATATTTGATATGTTTATAGTTGATGGATCCAATTTTTTTTTTTTAATTTTCTCAGTTGATTAAATTCAGACACTAAAAGATTTTTCACAGAACTAGAAATTGCTGCCTTAATATCCAATACTCAAACAAATTGTGTATATCAAAGAAGGACTGGGCTCAACCAGAGAATCAAAACTTGGATCCACATCAGAAGAGCAAGGAAAAGAAAGGGATTCCACAGAGCTCAAAGCTTCACTTTTGGCCTTTTGGCTGGGTCTCTGCAGGACAGTCTCTTATGTCACATGCTGATGACAGGTCCAAAGCACTGCTGTCCTCTGGCTGCTTGGAGTGGCTTCCTGAGCCGCCATAGCCCTCCCAGCAGCAGAAAGAACCCAGAACTCAGAAGCGCAGGTGCCATCTTTGTTATGGGAAAAGTGAGGTTTGAAAGAAAATCACTGGAACCATCCTTGATGTGGGCAGGCAAGGGCAATCTAGTTTTCTGAGCTGATAGCTAAATGTCAAGGGTATATATAATAAAATAGCAAATGTAGACATGCATACACAAAACACATACATTTCTTGGGGACACTGTTTAGTAAGCCCTGGCAAATATAGTTGAAAGAAATTTAATTACAGAAACAAGGCGAGAATATTTGACTACTGGTTTGTATTTTAAGAGCTATTTATTTGTGGGAAATGAGAAGTTGAAATGAACTCTTTAAGATACATAGTGCATTTAATATTTGGAACTTATTTTGTTTCTTTTGGATTGAAGACTAAGAAAATAATTCATTGGTTTAAAAAAAATTCTAGGTATAATTTGCACACAATAAAATACACCCATTCTAAGTGTACAGTTCAGTTAGTTTTGATAAATGTATGTACCCACGTAACTATCGCCATCGCTGTGGTCAGGATATTTTTTGCTTAACCACTGTTCGAATGAGTATTACCCTAAAATATTCTCTCATGCCTCTTTTCCTTCAATCCCTCCTCTCCAGGCCCCTGGCCACTCTGCTCCCTGATCTGCTCCCTGTCAGTTTTACTTTTTATACAGTTTAATACAAATGTAATCATTATAGCATGTACAGTATATATATTACAGTTTATAGTACATTACAGTATTCTTACAGTATATATAGTACGCAATACTTGTGGTATGTACAGTATATACTCACAATGTGTTTGGCTTCTTTCACTTGGCGTAGTGTTTTTGAGATTCATCTTTGTTGTGTGTATCAATTTTATTCTTTTTATTCCATTTTGTGGTCATACAACAGTTTATTCTTTCACCTGTTGATGGACATTTTGTTGCTTTGAACGTTCATGTATAAATCTTTGTGTGGACATGTTTTAGTTCTCTTGGGTAAATACCTAGGAGTAGATTTGCTGTGCTGTACAGTTAGTGCATGTTTACTTCAGATGAAATTGCCAGATTGTTTTCCAAAGTGGTGGTTCCATTTTATGTCCCCATCTGCACTCTGTGAGAAATATAGTTGCTCTGCATCCTTATCAGCTATCAGCACTTACTACCATTAGCCTTTTTAGTTTTAGCCATTCCAGTGTATGTGTAGCAGTATCTCATTGTGGTTTGATTTTTATTCCCCTAATTATTAATTGTACTGAACAACTTCTCATGGGCTTATTAGCCATACATACATCTTTTGTGAAGTGTCTATTGAAATCTTTTTCTCATTTTTAAAATTGAGTTTTTCTTAATTATCTTTAAAGAGTTCTTTACATATTTTGGAGGCAAGTCCTTTGTCAGATATACATAATTAAGGATATAGTTGACCCTTGAACAATGCAGGGGTTAGGAATGCCAACCCCCCTTTTCCCTGATACGGTTGAAAATCTGAGCATAACTTTTTTGTTAGAGATGTGGTCTCTCTGTGTTACCCAGGCTGGTCTTGAACTCCTTGAGCTTAAGGGATCCTTCATCACAGTTTCCTGAAGTTTCCCGGGTGGCTGGGACTGTAGACATGTTCCACCACGCCAGGCTTAGCGTATAACTATTGACTCCCCCAAAACCTAACTACTGAAGCCTACTGTTGACTGGAAGTGTTACCAGTAACATAAACAGTTTAACATGTATTTTGTATCTTGTGTGTATTACATACTGTATTCTTACAGTGAGCTAGAAGAAAAAAATGTTATTAAAATCATAAGGAAGAGAAAGTATACTTACTATTCATTAAGTGTGAATGGATCATCATAAATGTCTTCATCCTGTTGTTTTCATGTTGAGTAGGCTGAGGAGGAGGAGGAAGAAGAGGGGATGGTCTTGCTGTCTCAGGGGTGGGAGAGATGGGAGAAAATCCATGTGTAAGTGGACCCGTGTAGTTCAAACCTGTGTTGTTTGAGGGTCAGCTATATTTTCTCCTAGTCTGGCTTGCCTTTTCATTTTTTTAGTTTTGATGAATGCATGGATTTTTGACATCATTTTTCTTTAACAGGAAAGCAGCATAAGTTTAGTATTTGATTAAAAGACAGTCTGAGTTTTTATAGCGCTTACTTTCTGAGGAGTTCATTGTATTATATCATTTCGTTTGCTTTTTTGTCTTTAAGTAGTAGATAGGGATAAGTTCCCCCTTCCCCATTATGTATATAAAATGAGGAATCGTTACTGTGCCACAAAACTGAGAACAAATAAAGATTCTGTAATGAATACTTAGATCACCTATGTTCTAATGACATTTTGCTTAGATGATATGAAATTATAACTTTTGTATATTATATCTGATTTGTTGGTGATGATACAACACTCAAAAGTATGACAAAAGACTGCTTTTTTTAACATAGAATTTTTTTAAATTACTTAGATTGAAAGAAGTTTGAACTGTAAGCCAAAGATATGTAGTATATTTTAATACTGTTGTAGTTTTTCTTAACTTTTTAGCTTATAAGTCTGAATTGTAAACTTCAATGTAAAATTTTAATGTAAAACTTTAATATAAAATTCAATGATTTTGGCTTAATTTTATCCATCATTGATTTTCTGTTTTTTTTCCCCTTTATTTTTGCTTTATTTTTCTATCGATAGGGTTTATCCACTTTTTCTGGATGTTAATTCAATTGCTATTGGTTTGGATATAGGAGGTTAATATTTTAAAGGTGTTTTAGACTTCTATGACATAGCATCTCATTTTTTCAGGGTGTTGGCTTCCCTTAATCTTCCAGCAGCAATCGAAGATGTGTCAGGAGATACTGTACCTCAGTCTATATTGACTAAGTCCACATCTGTGATTGAACAGGGAGGCATCCAGACTGTTGATCAGTTGATCAAAGAACTACCTGAACTACTGCAACGAAATAGAGAAATCCTAGATGAGGTATGTTTTAAAAGATTTACTTTTCAAGTAAAAACATTGTGATCCCTTGATGTTCAGCAGAAATCAGGACTGGAAACTTCCTCCTGTTGGTTTTCACAGAGTAGTATTCATCATCTTGGCAAATTTACTGTGGCCCAGAGCTTGCTCTCCAGCCTCAAGAGGAATTCAGTTGAGTAAGAATGGGTTCATTTTTGTCTTGATGGTAAATAAATGCCCGTTAATGAAACTCATGTGGCCACCGTTCAAAACTAGCATACTATGAGGAATTACTGTCACACAAAGTGTTTAGAGCCTTCATAATAATGATTTATTTTGTACATAGGCAGATCAGGTTTCTTAGTGGTCATGGACTCAGACACAGGAAGTTAGGCCATCAGATGTTTTATAAGGCTGGTGCATCCATCTTCCAGTAGAGATGACGTTTTATCAATAGGAATGAAACACTCTAAAGTTTTTTTGGCTAAAGCCAACTGTTTGCCAATGTTATTCTCCTTTTACTGTGCCTTCACCTCTTCCCCGTAATTGATACATTTCTTTCTTTAGCTATAAATACATTTGAACTGGTTATATGGGCTTTTGCCAGTTTAGAGGTCATGTTGTGTCATTTAGGTGACTTCTCTTATCAATGCTTTAATCTGTGATGTTTTGATTTTTTAGTTAACTTTAAGAAGATACTGTATTTACCTCATTTCCAAGTACTTTGGGGCAGGCACAGAGTGCTTAAGTACTTATGACAGTGTGAATCTTGTGAATGAGAATATTTACCTCCCAGGATTATTTAGAGGATTAGTTAGGCTAAAACAGAAATGCCTAGCCTTTGGGACACATAGGATGTACTTAATAAGTTATAGCTGTGATTACTATTATATTACTGTTATGATAATATTCCAGTTATAACTGTTATGATGATGAGGTGATGGTTGTTATTTACCTTTCAATGCAAATTAGCTTTTAAAAAAGGTTAGGGTAAGAAATTTACTGCCTTACTGGCTTGAGGAAGCTGCTATTCATGAGGGGTTCTACATTAATTATATAATTAACACACCAACGTTGTTTATGTGGATATAGTCAATAATAAGAAAAACTAAAGCAAACAGAATTGGGTGTTACATAATTCAGTACTAAAGCCGTGGTGTGCTTTTTAGAAATGCAGAATCTCAGGTCTCACTTCAGACCTACTCTATCAGAATCATCTTCTTTTTTTTTTGTAATTTTTTTTTTAGAAACAGTATCTGTTGCCTGGGCTGGAATACAATGGCCTGATCTTAGCTTACTGTGTCCTTGAAATCCTGGGCTCAAGTGATCCTCCCGCCTCAGCCTTCTGAGTAGCTGGGACTACAGGCGCATGCCACTATACCCAGCTAATTTTTCTGTTTTTTGCAGAAGTGGGGTCTTTCTTTCTTGGCCAGGCTGGTCTTAAACTCCTGGCCTTAAGCTATCTCCCTGCCTCAGCCTTCCACAGTATTGGGATTACAGGTGCGAGCCACCATGTCTGGCCCAGAATCTGAATTTTAACAAGATTCCCAAGTGATATGTGTGTCTATTAAAATTTGACAAACACTGCTCTACTTTATTGTTCTTTGAGATCTGTTGATATGTGAGTAAACAAGCTTGTGATCTGGTGTGGCAGTTGAAAGGTAGAAGTAGTAACTAGACATAGGGTAAAGAAAGGGGAGAATGTTGTTCAAGACCACACACAAGTGACAGAAGCAAGAATATAGGGATAGCAAGTCAAATGGAGAGCAGTCTGGGGATATTTAGTAAATAGAAGATATAATAAATCACTTACTACTTTATAGTTTATAAATAGTTCAGTGGTTAAGGTCACAGAATGTGAAATTATATTTGTATTTGATTCCCAGCTCTTACACCTGGCTGTGACCTTGGGTAAAGTACTTAACGTCTTCATGTCTCAATTGACTTGTCCAAAAAATGGGGATAATGGTATTTAGGCCATAAGGTAGTTGTGAAGTGGGATAATATTTGTGCCTGCTGCTTAGTAGTTATGTAAATATTAGGTATGACTATTTCCTTGATTTTAAGTTGCCATTGATTGGAAGATGCTTGTTTGATTTTGCAATAGGTTTTTTTTTTGATAAGAACTTTTCCTAATGAAATACTGTGTATCAATTGTGAGAAGCATCTTTAGAAATATTAATGTGAGAAAAGCTCATTTTATAGATGAGGAAAAACTGACAGTGTGTATATGTCAGTCTGTTGTCTATCTTAATATGAGGTACTTTTATTTATGTTATTTGATATTCCTAACAGCCTTATGAGTAGGGTTACTATTCTGTCATTAGTACTTGGAGAGTTTCACTTTAAGTAAGTTGTAAATTGTGAAATAAGTTGTAAAGCTGGCACTCTTTTTTTTGAGTGTTCATATTTCTGGTAGCTTTTGAAAATTTTGTTTTAGTCTTGATTTTTAGAAATTTGAAATGTTCATCCACTAATTTTTTCTTTTTTAAATAATAAATTTATCATACTTGGCATCTGTTGGGTTCTTTAAATGTTAAATCCCTGTCCATGGACTCTGTTTCTTTACTTATTTCCTTTTCTCCATTCTCTCCATCATCTCCTTTGAATTTCTGTTAGATTAATAGTGGTGCTTCTGTATCATTTCTTCGTATCACTTACATCTTTTACTTTTTCTCTTTTTGCTCTTGTTCTTTCAGGGAGACTGTCTCAGGCCAGCTTTCAAGCTCATTAATTGGCTGCTCAGCTGTGCCTTTTCTAATCTTTAGCCATTGTCTTGAGTGGTCTTTTTGTTGTTAATTTTATTGATCTTTTTTATTTCCAAGATAGCTAATTGGTTCTTACAAAAACTCACCTATATTTATCTTACAACTACCTGTGGGTTTTTTTTTTTTTTTTTGAGGTAAACTTCACATAACATAAAATTTCCCATTAAAGCGTACAGTTCAGTGGCCTCAGTGGCTTTTAGTACATTCATAATATGCGAGTATCGACACTAATTTCAGAACATTTTCATTTCCCGAAAGTAAATCCTTTACCCATTAGCAGTCATTCCTCATTTTCCCTTCCCCCCACCCTTGGAAACCACTGATCTATCTGATTTCTGTCTCTGGATTTGCCTTTTCTGGGCATTTCATATAAATGGAATCATACAAAATATGGCCTTCTGAGTTTGGCTTTTTTTTACTTAGCATAATGTTTTCAGGGCTCATCTGTATTGTAGTACTTCATTTCTTTTTGTTACTAAATAATATTCCATTGTGTTGATATACCATATTTTGTTGATCTGTTCCTCAGTTGGTGGATATTTGGGTTGTTTCCATTTTGTGGCAATTCTGAACGTCTGTAGGGGATGTGTTCTAAGACTGCTAATGGATGCCTCAGATAATAGTGAACCCTATGTATACTATGTTTTTTCGATCTGATAACGAAGATAGCTGCTAAGTGACTGACTGGTGGGTGGCATATACAGCACGGATACACTGGACAAAGGGATGAATCATGTCCCAGGTGGGATGGAGCGGCAAGAGATTTCATCACACTACTCAGAAGGATGTGGAATTTGTTTATTTCTGGAATTTTCCACTTAATATTTTCAGACCATGGTTGGCTGCAGGTAACTGAAACCATGGCAAGTGAAACTGTGGATAAGGGGGTACTACTGTAATGCTGCTATTTTGTACAAGTTTTCCTTTCAATACCTGTTTTCAAGACAACTGTTTTCAGTTGTCTTGGGTGTATACCTGGGAGCAGAGTTACAGGGTCATGTGGTAAGTGTAAGTTTAACTTTTTGAGGAACTGCCAAACTATTTTCCAGAACAACTGCACCATTTTGCGTTTCTACCAGCAGTGTATGAAGGTTCCAATTTGTCCATTTCCTTGCCAGCCCTTAAAATTGTCCATTAAAAAAAAAATTACAACCACTCTAATTTGTGTGAAGTGGTATCTCATTGTGGTTTTGGTTTTCCTGATGACTAATGATGTTGAGTATCTTTCATGTGCTTACTTGTCATTTGTGTATCTTCTTTGGAGAAATGTCCATTCAGCCTTTGGCCCTTTTAAAAATTATGTTGTCTTTTTGTTGAATTCTAAGAGTTTTTTATATATTTTGGATGCTAGGTCTTATCAGATATTTGATTTACAAATATTTTCCCCCATTCTCTAGGTTGTCTTTTTACTCGCTAGCGTTCTTTGATGCAAAAAATTTTTAATTTTAGTGGAATATAATTTATTTTTCCCTTTGTTTGCATGTGCTTTTGGTGTAGTATTTAGGATTCCATTGCCAAAAATTCAAGATCATGAAGACTTACCCTTGTTTGTTCTTCTAAGAGTTTTATAGTTTTAGCTTTTATGTTTAGGTGTTTGATTCATTTTGAATTAAATTTTGTACGTGGTATGAGGTAGGGTCCAATTATTATTGCATGTAGTTATTCAGTTTTTACTACTGTAGTTTCGTAGTAAGATTTGAAATAGGGAAGTATAAGTCCTACAACTTTACTTTTTTTTTCAAGATTATTTTGTCTATTTGGGGTCCCTTGCAATTCCATATCAATTTTAGGATCAGCTTGTTCATTTCTGCAAAAAGAACAGTTAAAAGTTTAAGGGTTGCATTGAATCTTGACATATATTTGTAGAGTATTGCCAATATTAACAATATATCATTTTCTAATTGATAAACTCAGGATGTCTTTCCATTTCTTTAGGTCTTTTGTTTATTTCAACAATGTTTTATAGTTTTTAGCATACAAGTCTTGCACCTATTTGGTTAAATTTATTCCTAAGTATTTTATTCTTTTTGATGCTATTGTAAATGGAATTTGTTTTCTAATTTCTTTTTTGGATTGTTCATTGCTAGAGTATAGATATACAACTGATTTTTGTATGTGGATTTTGCATTCTGCAACTTTACTGAATTTATTATCTCTAGTAGTTATTTTGTGGATTCTTTGGGATTCTCTGTATGTAAGGCCATGTCATCTGCAAATAGAGATAGTTTTACTTTTTCCTTTTCAATGTGGATGCCTTTTATTTATTTATTTTTTCTTGCCTAATTGCCCTGGCCAGTACAGTGTTGAATAGGAATGGTGAGAGTAGACACCCTTGTTTTGTTTCTGATCTTAGGGGAAAAGCTTCTGGTGTTTCACTGTGTTGAATTTTTTTTTTTTTGGTCATGAAAAAGTGTTAGATTTTGTCAAATATTTTTTTCTGAATGTGTTAGGATGATCATATGGTTTTTCTTTTATTTTAATAATATGTGTATCACATTAATTCATTTTCAGATGTGAACCACTCTTGCATTCCTAGATATTCTACTTGGTCATCATATATCATCCTTTTAATGTGCTGCTAGATTTGGATTGGTAGTATGTTGTTGAAGATTTTGCATCTATATTCATAAGGGATATTGGTCTGTAGTTTTCTTATAGTGTCTTTGTCTGGCTTTTAACTCATGCATCCTTATAGTTGTGTCTTTTGTAAATAGCACATAGTAGGGTTTTTCTTTTTACTTTAGTTTGGCAATCTTTGTCTCTACCTGGAGGGTTAAATCCAGGGTTAAAGTAATCTTGATATATGAATGTAAGTAACCACTTATTTTATTGAGAAATATAATAGGTAACTCAGCCTTAAATTTTACAAAACTTCTTTGTTAAATACATTGTAACTTGTATTTCTATAACAAAAAGATGTTGAATCAGTTTATATTCTAACCAGTATTGTAGGAATATTCCTATCTCACTGAATTCTCACTTATATTGAGTATGATCATTTTTAAAAATGCTTTAAATTTTTTACACCAGAAATGATATTACAGTGTTGCTTTTTGCTTCCCTTTAAAAGTCATTAAGATTGTTGGATGAAGAAGAAGCAACTGACAATGATTTAAGAGCAAAATTCAAGGAACGATGGCAAAGGACACCATCCAATGAACTCTATAAGCCTTTGAGAGCAGGTAAAACTGTGTATATATGACCTTCACTCAGTTAATTCCCAGTTTGGATCTACATTTTTGCTTGATGAAATTAGGCTCAGTTGTAAACTCATTTTTACTGAAACTGTGTGCTATTATGAAAACCCAGGTGTTTTTTTTCAGTCTAATATAAAGATTAAAAAAAGATAACAAAAGTAATCGACATTCATTGTAAGAAATTCAGATTCTTAAGAAGAGCATGAAGTGAAAATTAAAATTATCCTCTAGCTCTCATTTTGTATTCTAAACACTATGCATGTTTTAAAATATAAATGAGAGCATATTGTATATGTGATTTTATCATTTCTTTTCACTTACCTGGATGGTAAAAAATGAGCTTTAACAGTTACTTTGAAGCCAAATTTATACTTTTAAAGACTTTGATTGTTAAAATTTTGTGCTTGTTAAGGCAAATGCTGTTTTCATGGTGACTGGAGACTCATTTTATTTATGTCTGTAAAAGGAATATATACTATTGAGATTTTTCTGAAAATTATAGCTACTGTTCTTTAAGTCAAGTTGATCTTTTGAGAGAAGAATACTTGTAAAATAAGTTGTACCAATTTTTGGAGTGAACAATTTCTTTATATATTCATGAGTTGTAGGAAAAGATTAGACTAACATCAATTAGCTTTTATTTGGCAGATAGTAACCACCAAATACATTTTAAGGTATAACTGTGCTTTTGATTTTATAAATGATTTTGTAATTTTTCCAAAAACAAAAATGCAAAGACTGACTGGGACTGAGTTTTTATTACAAGTGAATTGGGGCTTGTAGAAGGGGAAGGTAAGTGTTAAGTTGGGGTCCAGAACTAAAAGTACAACCCAGCCGATAAACATTGCCGTTAGAGTCACTTCTGTGCTCTGGAAACTTTTATTTTCCCCCAGAGGGAACCAACTTCAGAGGAGTTTTAGATAAAGCTGTGCAGGCAGATGGACAAGTGAAAGAACGTTACCAGTCTCATCGTGACACCATTGCCCTTCTGTGTAAGCCAGAGCCTGAGCTGAATGCTGCCATCCCTTCTGCTAACCCAGCAAAGACCATGCAGGGCAGCGAGGTGAGAAAGGTGCATTTTGATGTGGGTGGTCGTCTGCTTATGGAAATGATATTCAAGCCATTACTTACAATGAACTGCTGATTTCTTCTTGGCATCTTTAAAAAATGCAGAAGTAAATTGGAGTTGTTATATTTAAAGTAGTATATGTTCTGTGTAATAGGTAATCATACTAATATTACTATCCTGTAATTTCCATTTATTGAATGCCTTTTATGAGCTGGGTACTAAATTCTAGATACTTCATGTCTTCATATGTTCACAGTAATGCAGGTTTTATAAAAGGTAGAGTCTTGGAATCATAGTAACTTTCGTTAAGTGAAAGGACTGGGTTTGGCCAGATACACATATTCTTTGTTTCTTACATCTTTCTATATTGCCGTCCACCATATTCCCCTGGGGCTATCTTTGAAGGGAAAATTGACAAGATGTGCATGTTAATAAATGGATAACATCATCATGGTATTTCTAATGATGACAAGATGGAGAAAATCAAATATTAGGCCATCTGATTTGTAAAGTCCTAAAAGAGGTGAAAGTGCAAGTATAATTTAATGGCCTATCACCGTGAGGTAGGTAATGTAGTAGGATAAGGTAGAGGTCCCAAAGCGCACAGGAAAATAAGCTGAAGGGCAAAAAATACTGCTTTGAAAAAGGTGAATTCAGTTAACATATGAATCTTACACAACCTTTACCCTCAATTTATGGTCCAGTTTAGAAGATTAGTCATGGATAAGGATAACTGGTAGAAGTTTAAAGGTGTCACAGGGAAAGTATAGAAAATATGCTGTGAGGATTTAGATGAAGAACTTACATTTCAGTAATTTGGAGCTCTTCTTTTAGGAAGCTTCTTAAGAAATTGGCACATGATGTAGAACAAAGTGGTGAGACAGAAAAAGTGAAAACATATATATATATATCTATGTGTGTATATGTATATAAGATCTGAGAAGGGCTGAGTTGGTGTGTCCAGAGGGCCATCAGAAACCAGCCATAAATGCTGGACAGCTCCCAAGGAGAAGAGAAGACTGCATAGTTGAATGTGCACAGAACTTGAATCTAAAGGGGGACCCCAGTAGAACAAGAAATAATCAATTAGATGCTTGGAGGACACGGGGGAGAAAAGGATGGTGGTCAGAAGATTAATTTTTGAAGAACAAATAACTCAAGAGACTACAGATTCAGGGAACAGCAATAAATTCCGGTACTTTTTTTTTTTTTTTTGAGATAGGGTCTTGCTGTCTTGCCCAGGTTAGACTACAGTGGCACAGTCATAGTTGAAACTGCCAGTTTCGAGTGATCCTCCTGGCTCAGCCTCCCAAGCAGCTGGGACTACATCCTTTTTATTTTAGAAAAAGATCTTTGTTTAGTATCCCCTCCTTGTTCTTTTTGGTGTCTTGTACATGACTCAGAATTTATATGGCTTCTGTCCTTTGATTTGTCTGCCTTCAATAGAAAAGCAAAATGGTTTATGCTAAGCAAAATCTGAATTAATATACATCAATTTGTTGATACTTTATTCAGTTGTAATAGATGCATTTATTAATCCTTAGTGGTATTACACAAGGGAAAAGAACTTTTACAGTCAGTATGAAGTAATTTTACTGAAGCTAGATTTTCTTGATAGAGGTAACCAAAGAATTTTCAGTACTCTATGTATTCATTCATCATGTGCCTTTATCAAATAAGGCTAGCATCATATGTTTATCAAAGCTATTTTAGATGGTTGTCATAGTAGTTGCTGACACATTTTAGCCAGAGTTCTTATGATAAAAACTCAGTCATTTGAATTGCTAATTATTTAAGTGATACAATGTACACGTTTTATTAAGAGATCCAAGCTTAATGGTAGGGCTGTTTTTTTCTTGTGTTGTGAAGAAGCCTGCTATCTAGTTATTTATCTTCAGTCTGTTTGGGCATCTGGTCTTTACATACTGAGGTGCTCTGAAAAAATTTGCAGACTGTTGGTAATTGGTATGTAAAGATCCTTATATTAAATACCACTGCTTGTGATTGTGTGCCTATGATCCACTGAGGTCTGAAATCTAATCTGGGGTTGGAGAAAAAGACCTTTATCTCCTTAGTGCATAAAGAGAACTGTCCAAAACTGTGTGCCATCCCAGAGGAGGTACTTTATTCTGATTCACAGACTAATGGAGAATCTGTAAACACAGCTTTTATTCTTGATTTTTCATAACAGAAAGTTTATAGACAAGTGTTGAGAATGGCTACAATCTGTTCATTCATTGTTCACCAAACATTTGTTGAAGGTCTATTATATGCCAGGAACTGTGTTGAACACTGTGGTCCCTAACAGAGAGGTGGAAAACCCCTCTTATATTAGCTTTGGTGTGGGGTGATTACATGAGATTCCTGCTTTCTGTCGCTATAGAGATATTCTCTTATTTACTTTTCTGAATATAAAATGACTAGACTTGGGATAGGCATGGTGGCTCATACCTGTAATCCTAGCACTCTGGCAGGCTGAAGTGGAGGATTGCTTGAGGTCAGGAGTTTGAAACAAGCCTGAGCAGGAGCAAGACCCCATCTCTACCAAAAATAGAAAAAATTAGCCGGGCGTGGTCCCAGCTACTCTGGAGGCTGAGGCAGGAGGGTTGCTTGAGCCCAGGAGTTTGAGGTTGCAGTGAGCTACCATGACACCACATACTCTAGCCTCGGCAACAGAGTGAGACCCTGCCTCAAAAAAAAAAAAAAAAAAAGACTCCAGATTTGAAAAGTGAAGTTGAAAATTTAATTCAGAGCATTTCTTATGTCCCTAATTGTTTTTGTTGTTGTTAAATGCTTCAGAGAGTTTTATCATCTCCAAGTAGGCTTAGCAACCTGTGGCCTGTGAGCCAAATCCAGCTTACCTCTTGTTTTTGTATGGCTTGCAAGCTAACAATGGTTTTTACATTTTTTAAATGATTGAAAAAAAAGTCAAAAGAATAATGTCCCATGACATGTGGACGTTATATGAAATTCAGATTTCATTGTCCATAAATAAATTTTTCTTGGACCATAACCACACTTGTTCATTTACATACTGTCATTCAAACGACAAAGGCAGAGTAGTTGCAACAGAGACTGGCCTACTAAGCCAAAAATATTTTCTGTCTAGTCCTTTTTTAAAAAGTTTGCTAGTCCCTGATCTAAAAGATGAGGTATAGACAACCTAGGTAATCTCACATGGCTGCCATACTGTTTGACCTCATCTCCATTTCTGCTTTTTGTTTATTGTGCTTCAGCCAGAGTGGCCTTTGAACCTGCCAAGCTTGTTCCTGCCTCAGTACTTTTACATTTGATTTTCCTTCTGTTGGGGGCTTGCTTCCCTTTCCATGGCTACTACTTCTTTTTCATTAGTCTCAGATATCACCTCTTCCCCATCTTTGTTATTGTTTACTATATTACTCTTTTTTTGTGTATTTGTTTAATCCTTCCCCTCTCTATGGTCCCCAAAGTGAAGGAAAAGACTGTTTTTGTTAATATTAGGTCATTAAATATGAAATGTCTGATTTCAAATCAAAAGTTTAGGTTATCTCAAACAAGAAGCAGAACAATTAATCAAAATATGTGCCTAAACTATTGACACAGTTTTGCCATCTTAACGGCAGCTTGTTTATGCCAGCAGCAAAGAACCCTGGAGAGCGAGTGGTGATGAAATCTCGAAAGGCATTTTCCACAGCTTGTTGAGAATTGAATATTTTTCCTTGCAAGAAGTGGTCAAAAGGCTGGAGAAGTGGTAGTCAGTTGGTGCAAGGTCTGGTGAATATGGTGGATGACAGAGAATTTCCAAGTCCAGCTTCTGTAGTTTGAGAAGTGTTGTATGTGCAACATGTGGTGGAACATTGTCTTGCAAGAGGATTGGCCTGTCTCTATTGACCAATCTTGGCTGCTTAATTGCAAGCATCCCCATCATTTCATCCAACTGGTTGCAGTAGACATCCACTGTAATTGACTGACCATGTTTCATGAAGCTGTAGTGGATAGTACCAGCTCTGGACCACCAAACAGACACCATTAACTTTTTTTGATGAATATATGGTTTTGGACTGTGTTTCGGCACTTCTTTATCCAACATTTGTGCTGAACACTTGCAGTTGTCAAAAAGAATTCATTTTTCATCAAATGTAATAATACGGTGTAGAAATGGTTTGCCTTTATGTCGTGACAGCAAAGAAAGGCAAGCTTTGAGACGATTTCTCTTCTGATGCTCATTTAATTCATGAGGTACCCATCTGTCTATCCAGCTGCTTTATCTTGCTGATTTGTTTCAAATGGTCCAATATTGTTGGAATAATAATGTCAAACCTTGCTGCTAATACATGCGTAGGTTGGGATGGATTTGCTTCCACTACAGCTTTCAGCTCATCATTATCCACCTTGGTCTCAGGTCGCCCACGTGGCTTATTTTCAAGATTGAAATCACCAGAAGAGAACTTCTGGAACCGTGGATGTACTATGCGTTTATTAGCCACATCCTTCCCAAACACTTCACTGATACTTTGAGCTGCCTGTGCAGCATTGATTCCATGTCAGAACTCATATTCAGAAATAACATGAATTTTTGACTTATCCATGGTTTCACAAAAATTTCTCTAATCTACTAAGCGAGGTATCCCAAGAATGGAAAAACAAGCACCACATGTACTCACCATCAAATTGGTATTAGCTGATCTACACTTAAGTGCACACATAAGAATAACATTTATTGGATGTTGGGCAGGGGGAGGGGGGAGGAGGGGACGGACATATGCACAAACAATGAGTGTGATGCGCACCTCCCGGGGAATGGACACACTTGAAGCTTGGACTTGGGCGGTGGGGGCGGGACAAGGGCATCATACGTAACCTGATCATTTGTACCCCCATAATATGCTGAAATAAAAAAAAAAAATTTGAAAGATAATCACAAGCCAAGAACTATGTGTTTGAAAGAGTGAGGATGTACCTTCACAATAAAAATAAAAAAAGAAGTGTCAAAGCGAAAATGTCAGAGATATCAGCTGTCAAACTTAGTACTTAAGGAAATCAGACATTTCATACTTAATGACCTAATAGTTATATCCATAGTATCTGGAACAGTATCCAACACATAAGGATTCAAAAAGTATTTGTTGATTGAATGGTAACTACTGGCAGCCCAGCTTAATAAAGGGATGCAGTTAATTGCAGTTGAAAGCTAATTGGAGGTATTTATGAGATAGAAATAAATACCTCAGGATTCTAATTATTTCTATACTTTGACTTGATAACATGTTCAGCCTCAAACTTGAGTTTATAAGAAAATTTAGGCAGTAGTTTTCTTTTCTGATTATCCTGGTCATTCATTTGTGGAAGCAGTCTAATTCATTTTCTACTTCATTTACTCTGTTAAAATGAGGCCAGTATTAAACAGTCTGAACTATGGTTAATGTACTGTATATGACCATTTAAAAAAAAAAGCGGATGTTTGTAATACAAGGGATCTCTGTGTGGTAGTCCAAAAGTTCATTCATAAATTGATATTTGAAATGGCATTTTTTTTCCAGAGACTTAGAATTATGGCATTTTGGAATAGCATAGGACTTAGTAAATAACAATTTAGTCGTTTTGTATCACTCTGGTCAGAAAGCTATTTACCATAAAAGCCAGGAGGTTAGCTTTTTTTTGTAACTAGAATTCGTATTGTAACTCATGGTTCTTAAAATCCTGATGGTGTTTTGCCCCACATTTCTCTGCTGCCTGGTGTTTAGTTAGTTCTTCACTCAAGAGGAAGTTGTATCCATGTGAACCATGTCTGTCTTGTCATATCACTTACTACTTAACTTGGGGGTATTAGCACCACAATTTTAGCCCACTATTTGTTGAGAGAATCTTAATTTCTATACTGTATAAGAGGTATTCATTGTGTTTCCAGGTAATTAGTATTACAGTGTTCCAGACTCTCAGCTTTGTTTATTTGCCTATTTTTGTTAACCCTTCTGCATATTCCTATTTCTCCCCTAGTTTAGTTTTACTAGGTTAATTTTGTTTCTTTTTAGCTTTTATTAGACATAACTTACAAAGAAATAACAAAAGACTTCTCTTGTTTTTCTAATAGCCAAACCTTCATGTAGGGTAAAGTCTTAAGTCCATTATCAGTTAAGCTATACCAGCAGGTAATACTGTTGCAGTGTTTTTTATTTATATATCCTATTGCATCCCCCCAATATAAAATATGTCACATAATCACAAAGGTCATTATAATTCAGCACAATAAAGGATACTTTAATCCTTAATCTATTTCTTACTGTTTTCCTATCCCTGTCTGAATGCTTAGATGCCTAAGCTTCATTAGTCTATAATGTACCCAAAGTGTAGAGTTAGACCATAAAACCTAACTACTAGGTAATAATAATGGCTAATATGATTGAACACTTACCTTTGTTAGAAATTACATTGAGTACTTTATATGGATTATCTCAGTCTTCACAACAGTCCTGAAATAGGCATTATTATTATTCCCATTTTGCAGATGAGAAAATTGAGTTTTCCAGGTAGTAAACTGCCCTCAATTACACAGTAACTAAGTCGTTATGCCTGCTAAGGGAGTATAGTCAGAGTTGAAATATTTTTTTCTATGTAATTATGTTTCACTTTGATAGTTATATAGTTCATTTGTTTCTATATTCAGGTTTTGATTTAATTTTGTTTTCTGAATGTGTAAAAAATGTGCATGATTTAAAAGGTACATGCAGCGATATCTCATTCCTGTTCCTTCTGCCTCCTTCCTGTATACTTCCTATGAGTAACCATATTCATTAGTTTCTGGTTTTGTCCTTACTGCTTTTCTTTTTGCAAAATAATACATATGCATAATATATACATATGTATGTGTATATCTTTATATTCTGATTTCCCTTCTCTTTTACTCAAAATGCAGTATACTATATATGCTTTTTGTACCTTTTTAAAAATTTAACAATACATTTTGGAAGTTACTTGGAAGCAAAATTTTTATCTGCATCGTCTAATATCAGGTTCCACTAGGTCCTTCAACAGACTTTGTCATAGCCGTGCAGGTACGATTCTTTCTCCTCTTCCTTCCTTTTAGAGTCTCTGCAGTTTCATGCTTCTTGAACCTCTGGGAATCATATTTCGTTTTCCTGTCCACGCCCTCATTTTCTTTTCTTCTTTTTTAAAAATAGACTCTGAATGTTAAGATTAGGACACTTATGAGATATGAGTGGTAAACAGAGGCCAAAAAGAAAGTTCACCTAAATTTAGAAGAAACCTTAGAGTTTTCCGCATGTCTTTGGTCTTCACAAAGGATCGTTACTATTGATGTTCCTGCCAAGGGGCTAACTAGGACTGTGGAAGGAAGAGTAGGACAGGAATTCTTAGAAACAGGCAGTCCACTGGACTTGGATTTGGTGCTGGTAAAAAGAAAGACAGGGATGGAGATGGGGGTTCATAGATGTCCCCTTCTTCCTTTGTCTTTCCAGCTTTCTGTGAGCATCACTGGGGCAAGCAGAATAGGGGGTTGGTGTTGGTGTTCTCTTTGGTGGTCTTAGCACAGAGTGAAGAGATGTGAGTGTAAGGGGCAGCTTGAAAATGATATCAGAGGACACTTGAGCACTCTTAATTAAAAGGGGTATTTAGGAATCATATGGATGTAAGTCAGAGACTGCCTGGACTGAATACAAGTGATAAAACTCTTAATGATATGAAGAGAGGTACAAGAACCCTTTTCCCCTCTTCTTCTCCCAGCATATAAAAATGTGATATATAGCTTTCTATCTGTATCTCTCACTGTATCTTTCTCCATCTAGGATGCTCTCAACGCATCTATCTCTGTATATCTCTATCTCCTAATGGCTTCATGTAGGCAAAATAGGGTATCTGTTTACTTGCCAAAATCATACCTTCCTCCACTTCACAGCCATGACAGGGAGGCAGTATAGTGTAGGGCAAATAAGAGACTGGTTTTGAAGTTATTCAGACTTAGGCTTCAAATTTCACCTCTGCCACTTAGTACCTCTATGACCATGTTACTTAAGTTTTCTGAGACTCAGTATCCTCATCTTTGAAATGGAGGTAATGAATATATACCCTATGGGGTATTGTAAACTATATTGGTGAAGTGTCTAGCATAGTGCCTGATACGTAATAAGTGTTCAGTAAATGGTAGGTGTTGCTGCTGCTATTAATATGGCTATTGTTATAATCTGAGTCAATTCAAGATATGACGTCTATATGTAAATAAACCTGGGACACAATTTATATTAATACTTTTCTCTCTGAGAAATCATCTCTCTCTGACCCTGAATGAACCTTTGTATATTATTTCCTTCTTGACACTGGCTTCTGGGTTTTTTTTGCAATTAAACTAAACTGCTTTTTTATTGTTTAGGTTGTAAATGTCTTAAAATCATTATTGACAAATCTTGATGAAGTAAAAAAGGAAAGAGAAGCTCTGGAGAATGACTTGAAATCAGTGAATTTTGACATGACAAGCAAGTTTTTGACAGCTCTGGCTCAAGATGGTGTGATAAATGAAGAAGCTCTTTCTGTTACTGAACTGGATCGAATCTATGGAGGTCTTACAACTAAAGTCCAAGAATCTCTAAAGAAACAGGAGGAACTTCTTAAAAGTATTCAGGTGAAATTTATATATTTAACAAGATATATGTTTAAAAAATTGCAGAAAGGTTATGTCTGGACTAAACCTATGTTCATTTAGGAAAATGACATTGGAGAATCTACAAAAGAGTGGGACATGATACATCTATATTTTGCAAAATTTAACTTGTCATTTTGGTTTTATTTAAATCTACGAAACAATGCCACTGTGGCTAAAGTGTTGTATGTTACTTAGAAATGCTTGATGCTTCAGATATTTGGGGTTTTTCCATGTTTTTAGCAGCTTTTGTTTTTTTGCCATAGAGGAGAAAATGAAAATTAGTTGGAATTATTGATACCTGTAATTATATGGCTAACATTACAGACTTTAGTTGTTTTTTGAAAATAATGCAAAACTAAATAAGCGTGGATGTTTGAAGTTAGTCATATTTGTATTTATCAGTAGGTAGTTTGGACTAATAAAGACTTGACATTTTGCCCTTTTAGTAATGTACAGAATTATATGTTATATATTTCCATTCTTGAATATTATATCTATATATAATATAAGGTATTCTAAGAAGTAAAAGAATTTTCGTCTTGATTATATTTCTTTCAAGTGTTATATATTAATAGAAACCTGTAATCATTATTGGTTGTGTTTTGGCATTCATTGGATTTATGATATTTTTACTTAAGGAAAGATTTAAAGCATTGTGCTACCTCGAAAAATATTTATTAGGTATTTCTTGTAATTCTGCATATATTTTGATCATATATGATTTTCATAGTTGGAAAAGCTATCAATAAAACTGTTATGAGCTATGTTATTTTATAAATAAAAGTAAATTCATAATGTTTATTTTAACAAGGTCTCACACCAGGAATTTTCAAAAATGAAACAATCTAACAATGAAGCTAACTTAAGAGAAGAAGTTCTGAAGAATTTAGCTACTGCATATGACAACTTTGTTGAACTTGTAGCTAATTTAAAGGAGGGCACAAAGGTATGAAGTACATAAAAACAGCTAAAAAGTATAAAGGTGAAAGTATAATTTGGGATGTTAATTGATGTTTCCAGTTGGATAAAATTATTCTTTGCCTGGATTGTTGTTAGCTTTAATGCCTTTTGCCTCTGTGAAGTTTGTTATGAGAGCAAGGAAGCTTAATGAAGGTGGCAGCAGTTCATGGGAACTTTGAAAGGTGAATGGTATATTTCAGGCAGAAAAGGGGTATAAATATTATAGGTAGCAGAAATTAGCGGAGATGTCAGAAACCAAGGACACTTTTTTAAGGAATAGGAAGTTGACCAATTTGAGTGAATTGTGAGGGAACAGGAGTAGTCACAGCTGATCGGTGATGGGAAAGGTGGGGGGTGAGTATGGCTTTTATATTCTGTGGAGGTTTTGTGGTGCTAGACTCATGACCTGCCTGAGTATCAGAAGGCTTACTAAATATGTTTTAAATACTTTCTTACCTTGTCCTTTAAAAAGTTTAGGGAAATGCTTATATTTGCGTTTTATCAGTTACTTTGCTTTTGAGGAGGGAACAAGTGACTTTTAAGTTCTTCAGATGCATAATTCCTTTTGGTATTTAATTTCATAATGATCACTGAATAAAGTGATCTTGATGTAAATACGGTAGGTATTATGTAAAACTCTTTTAAGAGAGGGTAAGAATATTGCAAAGCCATCCAAATAGAGAGGATTAATTATATGCCGTTTTAATTTTGTTTAAAATGATGCCTGCATTTTTGTAGTGAATGTGCAAATCTAACCACTTAAGTAGATGTAGTATCATTATTAAGTATTTGGTTTTTCTCTAGCAGTTGGGAACATGTTCATGATACTTTTAACTTGTACCTACTATTTGATGATAATGTTCTGTAAAAATGATTTTATTATTCTTCTTTAGGAATTTGAGGTTGTATTTAATATTAAATTGTTGGGCTTAATAAGTGGTATGACTGTCTCATTAAGAGGGTTTCAGTTCTTCAGCTTTGATTATCATTGACAAATTAGCTTTGGATTGCATTACTTGCTGAATTTAAAATATTGTTCTTATTATTACTTATATTTATTCTTTGCTTATAGTTTTACAATGAGTTGACTGAAATCCTGGTCAGGTTCCAGAACAAATGCAGTGATATAGTATTTGCACGGAAGACAGAAAGAGACGAACTCTTAAAGTAAGTTTTTTTTGTTTATCAAATTGTACTTAAAGTATTTTCTTTAAAAAAATCATGTAGAGACTTTCGGGGTGAACTTGGTAGTTTGAGACAGCAGGTATCTTTTTCTCGCAGGTATTTTACAAAGCAACAAGCAAATAGCTGCACAATCTAGGAATGAAAGGATGAAAAGGAGCAGAAACTCTGGATGTAGGAAGTACATTGAGGTCACAGAAATGATAATAAAACAGTTCAGGGTGGCAGATCTCAGGAAGTGCCAGTAAATGTAAGCAATTTATCTGGAAGTGGCAGATAGGTTTCTTACATAAAACTAGAAGCATAGAACATGGGGAAGATAGGATGAGTAACTCAGAAAACACAAGCAAAATCACTTTCTGAAGGAACCTGTTGACGAAGCAAGGCCAGTCATGTAGGACTCATTTTCTGCTGAGTAATCGATAGAGAGGTGACACATCATTGATAACAGAGATACTATATTGATAAAGGTGAAAAAAATGAACAAAATTTAACAAAACTTCATAGATGAAGAGCATTCACCAGAATAACACAGAACAGATGAAAATTCTGAGCAAACATTTCACCATGAATTAAAACAACAACAGTCAAGCAAAAAAAGAAAAAAAAGTAAGGAAGCAATCACTCTACTTATGGAATGTACTTTCTTAAAGATTAGCCACTTTTGTGGTAATTTCATAATCATAAAAATCCAGACATTTGACTGCCTTTTAAGATGTGCTCTAAATTTTGCTTTAGTATGTTTTGTCTTCTAAATACCAGAACTTAATAAACAGCAAATTTATGCCAAATAGTTTGCCAAAACTATTGCCATACAGTTTTCCGAAGTGGTTGTACTAATTTATATTCCTCCTAGCAGTATATGAGAGTACTGGTTGCTCCACATTTTTGCCCTTTGCCATTCTGGTGGGTATATAGTGTTATCTCATTGTGGTTTTAATTTTCATTTCCTTGATGACTAATATGTCCTTTTATATACTTATTAGCTAGAGGCTTTGATTGTTAATTTCTGTTTTCATTGAAATCTTTTATCAAAAGTATAGAGTAGAAAAAGAATGAATGTTTTATTCTAAGCTTTACTTTCTTTTCAATAATGGTTTAAATACAAATGTCAGTAGTAATGGTTGTTGGGCATAGGAATACTGGTGGCATTTTATTTCATATATTTTTGCTTTTTTACATTATTGGTCTTATTTAATAGCTTTGATTTATTAGTAAGTGGCTAGGAAATTCTTATTTGCCCTATAAATGTGTTATTTACTGCAACTATTCCTAGGTGTTGTGTTAAGGCATTATAATATACATATATTTTTTAGATATTTCAAAATCTGGGCTTTTAGAATTTGATTAAAAACTTTTAGTTTAGCCGGGAGTGGTGGCTTATGCCTGTAATCTGAGCAATTTGGGAGGCTGAGATGGGAAGATAACTTGAGCCCAGGAATTCGAGACCAGCCTGGGCAACATAGCTAGACCGTGCCTCTAAAAAAGTAGAAACCATTAGCTGGGTGTTGTGGTGCATGCCTGTAGTCCCAACTACAAGGGACACTGAGGCAGGCGGATTGCTGGAGCCCAGGAGTTCCAGACCAATATAGCAAGACCTCATCTCAAAAAAAGAAAAAAACCATCTAGTTTATCTTGTAAGCAATTATTTACTTACATTAAGAAGGAGTTTTAGTTTTTTTGATGAATATATATTAGTTTTCTTTATCTCTGGAGTGACTAATTTATCTTCCAACTGGGGCCCTTTTTGAGAGTGAAAGTGGGGTGTGGCAGATGTGAGGGGTTGCTGTTAATTGTTACATCAGGGCAACGGGTACTGTCTTAGACGGTTTGGGACACGTCATATTTACTTCTCTGTGTATGTTAATCAGTGCAGTAAGAAGTTGGTTGATACCATCTGTTACTAGAGTGCATTTTACCTGAGGTATTGTTATTATTACTATTATTATTATT